GTACGTATTCCAGGCAATGCCTCCCTCAAATAACAAAGAGAATATTTATTTCTTAATCCCCTTTCCTGCTCCCCGCCGCGAGTCATCTCTGGGAGCCCGACAAGCATCCAAAGGGTCGGGGCTGCAACATCCCAGCTCCGGTGGGGTGGCGGCGGGAGCAGGGAGCGGGCTCGGCCCTCGGGCGATGCTGTCGGGCTCAGCCGTGCCTGCCGAGGCGAGGCATCGCCAAGCTGGTGACCTGCGGCGTGTGAGCCACGCTGTGCCACCGCGCCGGGGTCACCGCCGGCCAGGCTTGCTGAGCGCGGAGAGCACCAAAGCTCTGCTCCTTGAAGGGTTTGCTGCGAACATAATTAAGAGATGGTATCAGCGAGAGCCGCTGTGGCTGCCAGGCGAATCTCAGCCCTCGCAAATCACGGGTCCCCGGGCCTGCGACAGGACCCCCGTAAATCTCCGCAGCAAACGAGCTCTGCGGGTGTCAGGAGAAGCGGAGCTGCTGCCGGGGAGGGACCGTGTGCTGCCGATGGCCGGCAGCAGGGATGGGGTTCGATCTGCGAGGGTGGGGAAAAGCTCAAAACTGGCACCTGAATTTGTGCCAAAGGTTGGGAGGCTTGAAGGAAAACAAAATTAATCCCAAATGTGGCAAATCCCCAAAACCAAGGAATTGGGAAGGGCAGGGTTAGGACCACTTGGGATATCCTGGGGATAACCAAGGGTTGCAGCCCCATTCCAAGTGGCTCCAGTTTGGGCTCTCAGGCCGTGACCCAGAGGGTGCCAAGTCCCCAGCCCCAGGGATGTCTATCCCAGGGCAGACATGGCCCTGTGCAGGTGGATTTGCTCCAAGAGCTGCCCTGGACTCCCTGCTCCCCCTGTCCCAGCTCGGATGTGCACGGCATTGATGGGCAGTGCAAAGACAAAGGTGGTGGAGATCATGCAACTTTGGAAAATATTGCCTTTCCCCTCTTTCCCCATTATTTTTCCTTCTTTCTTTCCCTTTTCTCCTGGTCTTTCAGCCCTTTCTGCTGGCCTGTCAGCCCAGCTTCCCTCCACCCTCAATCCTTACTCTTATTCTTTCCTGCACTTTCTCCTACTCTTTCCCCCATCTTCACATCTGTTCTCTGTCTTTCCTCTCGTTTATTCCTCCCCATCCTGCACTTCTTTCCCCCCATGTGCACCACTCTCCCTGCTGCATCTCTCCCCTTTCCACCCCCTTCCCGTTTCATCTCATCTCCCCCCAATTCCCTTTCCATCACATCCCATCCACATCCCCTCATATGCCGATCTTATCCCATCCTGCTCCTTTTCCAATCCCATTCTCTTCCCCGTCCATCCTTTTCCCATCCCCATCCCATTCCCGTCTCACCCCCATCCCACTCCCATCTCACCCCCATCCCATTCCCGTGTCATTCCCATCCCCATCTCTTCCCCATCCCATTCCCATGTCATTCCCATCCACATTCCCATCCCATCCCATCCCGTCCCGTCCCGTCCCGTCCCGTCCCGTCCCGTCCCGTCCCATCCCATCCCGTCTCGTCCCATCCCGTCTCATCCCATCCCAGCCCCATTCTCATCCCCAGCCCCATTCTCATCGCCTCCCCATCCCATTCCCATCTCTCCCCAGACAGCCCCGCCCTTTCCCGGGGGCTGTCCCGCCCATCCCGGGGGTCGCTGGTGCCGCTCCCGCGCCCCGAACCCGACCCCAAACCCGCGCGAGCCGCGGCGCCCCCCGGCGGCGAGCGCGGGAACGGCGCGTCCCCGCGGGGCGGTACCGGGGCGGTGCCGGGGCCGTGCCGGGCGGGGGCCCCGCCCCGGGGCGGCCGTGCCGGGGGCGGGCGGGCCCGGGGCGGTGCCGGGCGCAGGCCCCGCCCCGCGGCGGTGGGCGGGCGGCGGTGCCGGGGACGCGCGGTGCCGGTGCCGGTTGGCTGCGGGCGGTGACGGCGGGAGGCGGTGGCGAACATGGCGGCGGCGGCGGCCGAGGAGGCGGCGGCAGCGGCGGGGCGGCGCTGAGGAGGCCCGAGGCGGGCTGAGGAGTGGCGGGGCGGGCGGGCGGGGGCCCATGTGCGGTGGCGGCGGACCCCCCCCGCCCCCCACTACCGACGCCCGTTCGCAGCCAGGCGCCGCCGAGGCGGCTCTGCGGGCGCGGAGCGAGCGCGGCCCCGGCCCGCCGGCGGCGGCGGCAGGATGAAGTTCGCCGAGCACCTCGCGGCGCACATCACCCCCGAGTGGCGGAAGCAGTACATCCAGTATGAGGTACGGCCCCGGCCCCGGGCAGGGCTGCGGGCACCGGCCCCGGCCCCCCGCGCCTCCCGGTGCCCGCCGTGCCGCGGGGCGCTGCTGATGGAGAGGCAGCGTGTGTGTGTGGGTGTGTGGGTGTCCGCTGCGGCGCCGGGCACCCCTCGGCTGTCCGGTTCATTAACTGATGAGTTAATTACCGCCTGTAACCTCTTGCCGGCGGACAGAGGTCGGGGCACACGCGCGGTGCGGCGCTCGGCACCGGGCAGCCCCGGCCCCGCCGCAGCCCTGACGGGCTTCGGCACCAGCGCCGGTTCCCGGTTCAGAGCGGTGACTTTGAGAGGCTCCCGGCCTCCCAAGGGCGATCCTGCTGGGCTGGGCAGCTCCCGTCGCCCTCCCTGCCCTGCCGGGGGCCGCCGGTACCGCTCTCGGCTTCCCCGAGCCCCCCAAAGCCGGGCACCAAACCCGCACCAACTTCCCCGAGCCCCCCAAAACAAGGCACCGAACCCCCATCAACTCCCGGTTTATGATCATTCTTAACTAAGGCTCTGCATCTCGCTGTTTCACACGCGAGTCGGGGCGTTCATGAGCACTGTTTGCACCAAGTTCTGCTGCATTAATCGTGAATTATCTGCAGAATACAGCTTTTTTGGGCTTTATCGCGCCAGCCTGCTAAAGGTCACGCTGATTGCTTCGTTTCAGATTTATCACACCGGTTCTGGGCTTGGGTTGAACTGGACAGAGCTGGAGGTGGTTATTTATTGTAAATCCATTTCCTATTCCAGCGTCAGCAGTAAAAGTGTCAGGTGCCAGCGATGTCTTTTTCCACAAGTAATAATTAAATCTAGACAACGGAAAGCTGATTATAGGGACAGCCGTGATCAGCAAAACTTCTTGACTGATTGACTCAGTTAAAACCATGCAACATTTGTTATTGTTTGAGGGCCTGTATTTTCTCCCTAGGACTATAATACCAATTTATTTATACTATCCCTATTAATCTGTCTGCATTTGCAAGGAAAAACACGTTTATCTTAGCTTGCTTTGTTATAATGTCGAGCTTGAAAAGTTTATATCTGCCCTTTTCACTCTTCCTTTGTTTTCCTTTACCTGACTGCAGAGGAACGGATGTTTAAATAAAAACTGCAGTTGGATTTGGCTTTACAACCGTATTATGATCTCCTTGAATTATGCAGAGAGCTAGATGGCCAAATAATGCCATCAGTCTTTGAGGAGGAGGAAAACCATTGTCTTGATAAAATAAAGGGCCAGCTTAGTTCTGCATCACGTCTCCGATGGGTTATCCCTGTGAGAGTTGACTTCTGTTCCTGGAAACAGAAAACTTGGATATCTTCCTAAGAGCAGCTTTGGAGGTGGGTCGGAGGGGAAGGCAAGGGGGAAATAAAAGGGTGAAAGATCTGGCTGCATGCTGAGCAAACAGCTGTGGAGAGAGGGTGAGGAGACCCAGTGAACTACGACACCTCGATTAATGTGTGAAGAGCTCTGCTGCTTGTCGGCCACTGTTTTCATTATGGGAGGTTAATTTTCAGCTGTTTTAACTAGGGCACTATTATTATGTCATTCTCCCTTCCTCCATGCCAGTTTAAAATGTAGATTTCAGTAACAACTTCCTTCAGGTTGTTACTCTTTCTAATCACAAGTAATCTCCGCCTTGGATAGACAGCTTAATGTGGAGTGAACGAAAACACAAACCTCACCCTCCCTTTCAGTAATAACTTTCAAACTCTTTGTTTGCCTTGTTGCAGCTGGCTGGATGTGAGTCAACCTCCTGCTCATGCATATTACAGTGATGGAATAGCCTGGCATTTATTATTCAGTAACTGGTGGTCGTGTGGGTGCGGTGCATAAAAGCCCTGCACTACCTCCGTTTACTTGTTGATTATACTTGAGGCAAAAAGCACTCAGCCCTCCTTTGTCCAGAAAAATTCCCAGGTGTTGATTAGCAAATGGGAGGTTAAACTTTGCCTGCGTTACTTGTGTGCAGTGCTGCTTACAGAAGGTGTCACAGTAACATTTTAAAACATTATTTGTATATTTAATAGTGTTATAATGTTTCTTCAGCTCACAATTTCAATATTTTCCTTCTTGATTAAAGCAGGAGCCACCCTGTCAGAGTGAGAGATCTCCTTGGGTAGGTTTTCAACTCTGAAAAGATTCTTCCCGTTTTCAGGATGTCACATTCAAGATCACAGAATTCTGGAATGGTTTGGGTTGGAAGGGCCCTGCAAGCCCATCTTGTCCCATCCCCTGCCATGGGCAGGGACACCTTTCACTGTCCCAGGCTGCTCCAAGCCCTGTCCAACCTGGCCTTGGACACTTCCAGGGATGGGGCAGCCACAGTTTCTCTGGGCAACCTGTGCCAGGGCCTTACACCCTCAGGGAAGATTTTTTTACCTAATATCTGATTTAACCCTGCTGTCTTTCAGTTTGAAGCGGTTCCCCATGAAAGGGCTAAAAGATGATGCAGAAATTGCTTTCTCTAAGTTGTTCAGTATCATAAAGCTTACATACACTCATCTTAATTTTCTACTCTGGTATTTGTAGTTATTTCCATTGGAAAGCAGGTGATTCCTGGAGTGTGGCAGGACCCAGGTAAACTGGGAGATCCTTGAATGGGATTTGGAGTGAGTGTGCCTGTGGGAGCTTTGCCTGTCAGACCAGGTGTAATCTGTAGGTGATAACGTCAGAAAGAGGAAAGAGATTGTTGTGTTTTCAGTACCTAAAAATATATTTTCACTGTAGTACCAATTGACAGTCTTCAAAATTTCTTACCATTAACATGCTCTTTCCCTCCAAAAATAATTAGTTTAAGTATTCTGAGTGTGCTTGCAGGAAGTATGGAAATTGCCCAAGTTTAGGGCTGGTGGTCAGGGTGAGAGCTTTAGGGAGAGAAAAATCCATTAATTTTCTTTAAACAAGCAAAACTAAGATATGTTTTGATAAGTGTGACTTAGATTCTTATTTCCTTTCAGCAAAAGCTCAGTGACTATTAGTGTACATCTGCTTTTTGAGAAGGAGCACTTGGCTTACAGAAAAGAGGGAAAATGGCAACGAATGCTATTCTGTTTCATTCAGCTTTTCCCAAAGACATTTACCATGACTGAGCCAACAATAATGTGGAGCTTTACACAAACCTTGACTGACTTGATTTGGCTTTCCGTTCCAAATTTCCCTTCTAAAGATTGCATGAAATGATGTGGATGTGCCTCGCCCTGGCAGCAGCAATGAAAGGGTTTGCTCACCTTGTTTTAGGGGCTCTGGCAGTGTATTTTCTTCTGTAAAGTGAGTCACATTTTCCTAGCCTGTTAAACTACAGCTGTGGTATGCACTGCTTCAGTGCACATTTTGCCTTAAAAGTTTTGGACCATTCATTTATCCTTCAGTTCCTTTGGAAAAATATGAAAACAGGAAAAATGAAAACAAGAACAACATGTAAACAAACACAGTCTCAACCTTTTGTGTCAGATGACTGAATTCTCGTTTCCACATAGTCAGTACTGTACAAATTCAGGTAACTCTTGCATGCATTTCAGCAGATGCTTTTTTTTGGCTGAGAGTGTGCTCTGCTGCATATAATGCTCATTTTTGATGCAGCGAAGTATTGGGGTAGTTACTCCTCTGTTTATCTACAAATCCTCCTGGGTTCCTTTGTTCTTGTGTCCCTCTTTGGATTGCTTTCAGGAGGAGAGCACTGCTCTGTGCTCAGACTTCTAAATGTAAGTGTGTGTCTGCACGTCCAGCTGATGGAACTGTACATCTCACTTGTACAGTTGCCAGATGGCTATTTGGTTTGCAGTTAATCTGGCCTGAATTTGTTTCTCTGCAGAAGTCTGATGGTATTTTTATAGAAAAAGCACATAATACCTTTGAAATCGCAGCAACTGGGGATGGAGGAGGAGCAGAACAGTTATTACAGGTGCAAAGTTCATGGGAGAAATGGGTAAAGGTGTGACCTCCATTCCCTTTGAGGGAGATCCCAGGTTTTAAGTCCTTTTGCTGTTGCAGAAGAGTGACAGGTTGCTAAGTTTTAGGCATCATTTCTCCCAGACACCACCTGCAGCAGGAAGTAGGTGGGGGGAGAGGAAACTCATAGCTGAGGTTGCCTGCTTGTCTTCAGAGTCTCTCTTGCAGAAACAGGCTTTCAGTTTTTGGGAGGTGGCCAATTCTGCTCGTCAAACCCAGCTTCATGATAGGCAGTTCACACCCAGACTTGCCACCTCCTGACACAAATCTGTTGTGCTATTTCACTATTTGTCCTTCGGGCTGTTAGCGCAGGAGCTTAGAGGAGCTTAAGTGGTTTGAAAGACTCCTTTAAAACTGTGGTTTTTTGAGTGTTTTAAGGTTATCGTCCTTGTTTTTGTTCATTGTTAAGGTCTGATGGTTGCATTTTCAAGTGCTTTCTTTTTGCCTTTTTTTTTTGTTTTCTCATATGTATTTGCACAAGTTTACTGATGGTGCAAGGTATAATAGCACTGGCACAGTCTAAAGCAGTGAAATAACTCATTTTGTTTAGTTTGAGGGCAGAAAGAGTAATTCTTAAGTGTTTCACATTGACAGTGATGGATAACTTTTGTAAACGGTCGTTCTAAAATTCTGTAATCTAGAGGACTAAATAGTTTAGGCGTGAAGGAGCAGTGAGTCTTTCACTTTGAGGTTATTGGTTTACTTATATAGGTCAGGAAAGCAGTAACAAAATCTGCTGCCCTGCAGCTGCCAGATTGTACTGTGTCAGTCTGCATGGGGCGAGGTCTGTGGGACGACTGACACCTTCGGCTTTCAAGATTGTTTAGTGCAGGACTGTCAGTGTTGTCCTTTTTAATTTGTTTTTTTTTTTTAAATGACAGATAAAACCAGAGATAGGAATTACACTGGGTTTACCTCTGGGTTAAGAGATGAGTTGTTACTACAGTGACTTTCAATGTGCTGTCTCTTCTGGTTTGTTTATCCTGTGTCACGTTGTGGTTCATGGAAAATGTTACAGGTAGGTGAGGATGACGACTGGGGTGGAAAAGGAGGAAGACTACTTGGTGTGCAGAGGCAGATCATGTGCTGCTGACCAGTGAGTCATGGGGGGAAAGACTGAAGTGGCCAGTGTTCCCGAGGAATTTTAGAAAAGATCCAAGAGTAGAGGAGAGCTGTGCTGCTGGAATGAGGATCATCCAGCAGTGGCTCAGTTGGGAAAACAATTATGCAAGTGACCTTTGTTGAGACCTCTGTGGACTCAGGAGCCAGACCTTTGAGAGATGCCAGAGCTGCCGGTGTAAGCAGCCACCTTGGGTATCTTGTGGTAAACAGACTTGTCCTTTAGACCTTGTATTTACCCAACAGGATCATAACCACCGTGTTACAACAGCACTCAGTCCCCAGCTGCTGAGCTGGTGGTTTTTTACCTCGAGGGTGTTTTGGGGATTTGTTGTTTAGGCTGGGAAGTTTTGTCCTGGGGCAGTATGACACAAACCTCTGCTTATGCTATCTTTCAGGATTATAGAAGTATGGGATATGTTGAGAATCAGGCAGAATAGATAGGAACTAAGAAGACCTGAATGACTTTTTTGTGTTAGATTTCTGCGGGCTCAAAAGTGAGGGAATAAGATCAGTTTTTTGTGGTGGTGGAGGATTCTTACGTTCAGTATGGGCATTAAGATGTGAGGTATGTGTATAAGCAAATCACTTTGGCAGTAGGAATGGGTCCTTCCCTGTGGCTTCTAGTTTGAAAATTATGGTTCAGGTTGTTCCTGAATCCTAGAATATTTTAGGTTGGAAGGGACATTTAAGATCATTTCATTCCAACTCCCTGCCACGGGCAGGGACACTTTCCACCCAATCAGGTTGTTCCAAGCTCTGTCCAACCTGGCCTTGAACAATTCCAGGGATGGGGCAGCCACAGCTTCTCTAGGCAACCTGTACCAGGGCCTCACCATCCTCACAGGGAAGATTTTTTTCCCTAATACTCTATCCACACCTGTCCTCTGTCAGTTTGAATCCATTCCCTCTTGTCCTGTCATTCCTGGCCATTGTCCAAAATCCTTCCCTAGCTCTCTTGGAGCCCCTTCAGGCACTGGAAGGGGCTCTGAGGGCTCCCTGGAGCCTTTTCTTCTGCAGCTGAACATCCCCAGCTCTCTCACCTTGTCTCCGTAGCAGAGGTGCTCCAACCCTCTGATCATCATTGTGACCCTCCCTGAACTCTCTTCATTCCTTTAGTCATTGATCTGAATTCAGTTTCTGTGGATGTGAGTGAGCAGATCTTTGATCTGTGCCTGGAGTAATACCAGCACCTTAACAACTGCCTGGAATGAGACCTTCCAGAAAAAGGAGCTGTAAGGCAGCTCATGGTGCCTCCAAAACCTGAAACCTGATTAATTAATTAACTCTGGCTAGTGTTAATGTTGCCCTTCAGTTCCCACCTCTAGACAAGGCTTGTCACCCTTGGTTCCCAGATCTCCTTCATCATGTAGTCTTCAGCTTTTAGAATGTATGGGTTTTTTTGTGCTCCTGTAACTCCTATATAACAGTGATGAGAAATCCCTGAGGCTGCTTTTCCTCCATTTGCCTTGACAAACTCCTCTGTGTCACGCAATACTTCAGGTTTTGTTATTTCTTCATTTTTTTTTAATGTAAAGGCTTTAGCATCCCTACCAGCTGGGAAACATTTTTCCGAAGGAAGATGTTGAAATGTACAGTTGGAATAAATTTTATAGATTAGTAAGATAACAGGCTTTAGACAAAGCAGTCAGTAAACATGAACCTGTTTCACTTGTGAACAGAAATACGTGTGATAGCCTTGACATCACATACCATAGCTTTCTGTGCCAGTCTGCAGGATAAAAGGGCTTTAATTGCTTTTGTTTTCAAACAGGCATATCAAAACAGTGTAATTTTTTTCTCTTTTAATACTAACTGTATTCCTTGTTCTCTGCCTCTCCCTTGCAGGCTTTGAAAGAGATGCTATATGCAGCTGTGGACCAGGCCCCTTCTATAGAAGGTAAGCGAATTGTAACCCACAGTTTTGTTTTTCTTAGCACTGGCTGCTGGACACGTAGTCCTGCTACTTTTCTGTCCTCAGTCTTCCTAAATTGGTAAACTTAATATCCTGATGGGCAAAAGCCTGGCCTTTGACAGCCTGCATGCTATTTTTGATTGTTAGAACTCTTTGTCCTCTTTCATTAGGACAATAAATGTCTTTGTATAGTTTGAGACAGCAACAGCTGGATTGCTCTTGCTTATAAGGTCATTCAGTGGTGGAAGTATTTTCTTCACTGCTAGAGAATAGAGCTTTGTTTTCCTGTGAGAGACAGCCACTCTGGGAGATAGCTGTGCTGGAGAGACACTGGTTCCTGGTTTGTTACTGGTGATTTGGGCTGGAAGAGTCTCATCTTTTTGTTCTGTATCCTCCCTGAATGCTGTGCTGCCTCTCACATGAGGACATGAGTATATCTTCTTGTTTGCATGTGTTTATTGTCTCTGACTACTCTAGATTATTCTAGTAAGGTGTTTTGTTTTAAGCTCAGTGCGTTTTAAATAGTTTGTTTAATTAAGTGATGATCTGTGCCATATATCTTAATGAAGCCTTTTACTTTCTATATCTTTCTTCATTTTGTTGTCTTTAAAGTCCTGAAGAGTTTTTGCCTCTGTGTTGCTTCACTCCTTTCTTTCTTGCCCTTCATGTGAATTTCCTACTGCTTTATAATTTTACCTTTATTATTTTCACTTTGTTTGCAGACTTAATGTTACTGATTTCTGAACATGGCTCTGGGCTTCTTGTATGATTGTAGAGCAGGAGAACAAGTGCTGCTCCTGATGTAGTCAGTTGTCTAACATCAGTAATGCTGGTTACTCTTCATGTTAGCTCATTAATTATTTTCCTTTTGTTGATTAGAACTGGGAAATGAGGTGTGATGTAGTTTATACAATGTGGGGTTTAAAAAAAAATTTAATTCAACTCCACTTGCTCTTCGATTAGAATTTTAAAACCAGAGCTGCAATAATGAATAGTTTGGGAGTGTGTGTGGGATGGGGCAGTCTGTCCTTAAATTCTTCAAAGGTGCATTCCAAGCTGAAAACTTTGTGGAAGCAATGCTCAGGCCGGTGTAATTTTAGATTTAACCTGAGTCTTAGTAGCTCACTCAACTCATCCTTCTGATTTTGTTTTTAAAAAAATCACACTTTTCTCTAAAGTGCAGTACCCCTAGAACTAGGTTTCTGAAGGTTATGGTCCTAGACTGCAAAATCTATGGATTATGTTTGGAAAACTCAGCATACATTGGCAAAGAGGAAAGTCTTGCTTTGTTATTTTAAACTGGCAGAATTGCATAAAACCCACTCACAAACCTTTCACCCCAGCAACATAAGACTAAGAGGAAGTGAAGTTTTCTGTGTAGGCCAAACTGACTATAGTAACTTTTAAAGACAACTTACTGTTATTGAAAACCCAGCAATATTTTTATGGGAGATGAGCAATTATAAGACTTTTTCCCCCCTCTCTTCTGTCATTGGTTTATTAGTGACAGTGTGAGCAAATGGTGTCTGTGCTAATGGAACTTTGTAGTCTGATGTTGGAATGTGACTTCCTGGGCTTGGCTAGGGCTATCTAGGATTTCAAGGTGGGCTTGAGTTGCTTGTTGTAAAGTGTTATAATTCAGCATTTTGATTTATTTTTAGTGCTTGTGTTATAGTGGTGTTCTGTAATGTTTGTGTGTAAACATATTTGGCAAAGCAAGAGGAGGTGAAGAATAAAATGATATTATATTTATACTCTTTTAAACACTGTTAGAATTTTAACTTGTACTTCTGCCTCCTTTGATGCTTTAAAAACCTCTGCAAAAGGAAAGCAATGACTTAAGACAGTTTCCATTAGTAGAAAAATGTTCTGTTCATTTTTGGAGGGGTTGGATCTTTTCCTCTGTATTATAGAGAATATAATCCAAGCTATTTAGTCTGTCTGCCTGACCTGCCCTTAAGTGGAGAGCACTTACACTAATTCCTTCACCTTTTGTGCTGGAAATGAATCAACACCTTTTTCCCACCCCTGTTGCTTACATCCTTCTCTTTTTTAAGCCCTTCTGCCTTTGTTCATAGAAACTTTAGGCCAGGTTTAGTAGGTGACTTCACACCAACCACTTCTCTAGTCCCTATCAGAGGAGATGAGCAAGTTCCTTGCATTTTGAGAGGGAATGTAGTAGCTCTTGTCAGGGGCTGGCTGTTGGCCTGCATGTTTCCAGTTTAATATGGATTTTGCAATGGATACTTCTATGTTATTTTGAGTTAGCACAGAAACTACAGGGCTGTGCTACTGAAACCCAGCCTCCCAGTATGAGCCTAATGTAATCTCATTTTAGACTGGTCTAACTAAAATCCATTTGCTAATTGATCTCGTTGATCACAGACACGCTGCAGAGCTCCAGAGTTGGCTTTGATTTACCTTGCATGAATTGTAAGCTAATCTTGGGATAATATATTGGATTGTGAAGACAAGGGAGTTTTGTACAGCAAAGCTGAGGCTGTTCCTGGTTCTTATTCTGCTCGGCTGGATGTGTGATCTGGCATTTGTGAATGAATTTCTTAGATTTCTGCTGCAGGCTGCTTACTATGTCAGTAAAATTTGTGTATAGACAGAAATGCTTCCTACTGCTTAGTAGAATGCTGAAAGCACTTTGGAAGTTCTTTAAAACAACGAAAAAAAGTGTTACTCAACGAGGCCTGTTGTAAATAACAGGCAATAGGTGGGCCATCCATCATGAATAGCTTTCTTTGGGTTTGTATTCAGGCATTTTCTGTTTGTGGGTGGGTAAACAAACCTAACTTCAGAGATACTCTTAAGTTATTCGAGGAGTAGTTGCCTGTGCTACTTTAGTGGACAAAATGCTGCTGGAAAGAGGATCTTGGCTCTAAATTGTTCAGTTTATTCTGTGGATATATGGTGACCCTTCTCACTGTGCTACATTGAATCACACCTATGTCTATCTGCTTTTTCATGGTTTTGGGTAATAAATGGACTGATTTTAACAAAAAAACCTTGTAGAGGTGGATAAGCAAAACCTATCAAGGCTGTATGGTAGGAGGAGGTTGTTTATAGCTGTCCCCTCACACAATTGTAGGGTGCTGTGGCTCCCTGTGTTTTGTGAGAGTTATTCCAGATCGTGGCATGTCTTTTCTGGCAGTTCCTAGCTGTACACATAGATTTCTTTAATCTGTTCAAAGATACATTTTATTCATCCATCTGTCTCCTTTGTAATGACAGTTTTTATATGCCAGTGTTATTCCTCCAGATGCTCCTCATCTTTTTACAAGGCAATCCCCTGATGAAACCTGCACCATCCTTCTACCTGAGCAACATCTGTACTAAATTAGTGTTCAATCTGTTAATTCAATCCTGTGCACATCACTGGAAAAGGTATCGAATGATGCTGGATTCCCAGCTGTACCATGAGACTTCCTTGACTTTCTGGAGAGTTCTTAGGAGCGTGTTTGCTTTGTTAGCTGTTGCATTCTGTTTGCTGTTACTGGAACAGGGGGATGAGTGGATGCTGCTCCCACGATATCATTCATGGCTCCTGAGTGCCTGTGGCACTGAATGCAAGTGTTCCAGACCAGGCACTCTTTTTTGACCCTGAGATACCTATAGCAGGAATCTGTGATGGTTTAGAGATGAAACCTGAGCATAGCTCTGTTCTCCTGAGGCAGAATGTGCAGTACTGCAAAAACATGAAATTTTGACCTCACTGGGAGGATGATTTTTTTTTTTTTTTGTTGATATTCCTTGTCCTCCCACTGCTTCCTGTTCCATTTGTCACCTAAGTAAAACAGGTTACTGGACCACTCTTACTCGGAGTGCTCCTGATTATTCCACTTGGTGAGCAGATGTGTCGGCATCTCCCCAAGCTCCTCACGATGCTCCTCTCCTCGGCTGCAGTGGGCACCAAAGTGCAGCTGTAAATTATTCATCCTCATTATCTGCTCGAATGGACAGGGGCTCTAAATATTATTTCCTAGAATATTTGCCTTTCAGGTATTTAAATTTATCCTCCCTTTAATAATTGTGTAAACAGATATCGTTGTTGTAATATCAGTTGGTACAAGACCATCCTGTAATATCCTCTTATTACGGAGATTACTTACCCCAATCCCAAATTCCAGTGGCACCTTTCAAACAAGGATCACACTGGTTCTGTGGGGATGGAATAGTGTATTGGGGCAGGAGTGGGGAGTACTGGTGCTCTAGGATAGAATTCAAACCCAAAAGTAAGAGGTGGTGTTAAAGCAACATTAATTGGTAGAGGAAAAGCTTTAGTGGTGATAGATATCCTCCACTGGTACCTGTAATCTTTGTGGTCACCTGTTTACTTGTGATGGATTAGGAAAGCAAGAGGTGCAAGTTTGGGACATTCTGAGAGTGCCAGCACTGGCAGCATGTCCCATGTTATTCCACCATTGTTTCTGCTTTCATTTGTAAAGCACTTGCCCGGTTAATTGACAGCTACAGATCTTTAGTTTGGATTTATTTGTGTTATCTGAATAAACAAAATAGTATTCTTCAGGGGGATAAATATTCTTGGTGAATATGTAGGGTGTGGGACATCACATTCTTTTTCTTTCCAGAGGAAGCTATGAGCCTGGCAGTTTTTGTTATATGCAGACATGCATTGTAGGGTTGATCAAAGACTTATGATTTGTCTGTGTATATGCAGATGTCGTCTTTTTATTTCAAAATAAACATTTATTTCCAATTGCACAAGCTTACTGTGTAGCGGCTTGAGGTTTTGTTTACATGGGAATGCTTAAGGCTTAAAAGAGTCTTCAAGAGAAGTGCTGCACATCAGAAGCAGCCACAAAGAGATTAATGCTTTGTCTTTATTTCAGCGTGTTGTCACACACCCATGAGGACATGGGGGTTGGTGTCCTGCACCCCAGATGCAGGTCTTTGATTCTGTCTAGGCTGTAATTCAGTCTGTAGGCCTCTGTATTTATAATTAGTATGTAAACTAA